CTGAATTTCTCTGGTAATCCGTCCTCGGCACTTCCTGCAAAGTAAAATACGTGGTGTCTCGTTAATTTGTCTACTTTGCTCGCTTAATTACTTACTCGAAATCCTAGATAACTGTTACTACAACTACTACCCCTATTCTTTATTCTATTTTAAGCGACTAATAGGTACGAGATAAGTGATCATTCATTTTAATCCAATCATTCGTATCTTTGAACGATCATAAAAAAATTCTAAAAAATGTAAGAAACGAAAAGAAAATAATTTGCAAATATTTGTAACCTGTGGAATATGTTGAACAGGCTGCGAGAAAGAAGCTTCCTGATCATCCTGATGATTTTCTTGGACCTGTATCATCTTGTGTTCACCACTGAATTGCACTGACTTTTTACGATGAATTTTAATCGAACTCTTCTTTTTGTTGTTTTCATTAAATTCATTTGTCGATACCAATGAACTTTCTCCGCACTCCATTTTCATTTCGTTAGGTTCAGCAATTTTTTTTACGATCACGGTGTAACTAATCTCGTTTGTCAATGATTCAGGACCTGTCATCAGGCTGCAATCATCCTTCTTTTCATTAATCTTTCCTTCTTTGTATTCTGCATAGCAATCTTGTCTCGCAGCCTTCAATTGTTCCTTAAATTCGAAATTTTTGATCTTGTTCGATACGTTCGAACGTTCTTCCTTCGATCTAACTAATGTCTTCCTATCATTAATTTTAGAATCTTCAAAGGCCGTCGTTTCCTGACGGATCTCATAATACTTAACAAAATTCCTAACGCTACCGGGAATTATCGTTAGATTCTCATCATGATCAGCTAACGATTGGTCGTTACTTAAATCTACGGGTGTCGTTATGGCCCTGTTATTGTCATCATTATTACGATGGGTTATTACAATGGGAGTCTTTTCTCTAACTATGGCACACTTATCAGCGCTATCTTCTGTATCATTTTTCTTCTTTTTAAAATCTATTTCTTCTAAGTCATTTCTACACACTTCTTCTTCTTCTTCTTCTAAATTATCAATCATTTTTTTGTTCATCATTTCATTCTGAACAATTTCATGAACAGAATTATCGTCGATATTCTTAACTACCTTCGATCGATCTTTCGTATCTCTAAGATACGTAAGATTTAAGTCAGACACGGAAATCTTTTCTTGACTCTTGGACTTTTTCATCTGCTTGTCCAGCTGTCGGCTCTCCTTTATTTCCGCTTGAATTCGCTGAACCGCCATCTGGTTCGTAGTAATCTTCCTTGCGTCTTCATCTGCCACATCATTTTTTTTTCCTTTTATTACTACTATTTCTGCTTCTTCTACTTTATCCTTCTTATCTGAAAAGACAAACTCTACATTCTTTAGATTCACTGAATCCTCTTTCACTTTCTTTTCTTCCACCACACTTCTCAATTTGATCGTCGCAAAGTTTGATAGCAGCTCATTCAGAACGTTGCTTTTTACGTCTACGATATCCTTTTGTTTATCTTTCAACGAATTCTTATCATTTTCTTCTTTATTACATCGATTCTTTTTCTTTTTTAGTTCCTGTAAATTCGAATCTCTTTCATTGATTTCCTCGAGCGAAACCAATGGATGATCATTTTTTGGATGAATCGCTACGATCTCGCAATATCCTTGAGTATTCCAATTTGCTTGATTTTCACCATCCGATAGCATAGTTTCTAAAAAAGAATTTCGTCTAACGCTAACTGGAACACTGCAACTACCATTACTACAACTTTCTTTGCTCATTGAATCATCAACGATCTTATCGATAGACTCTTCGAAACTTGGCACACTTAAAATCGATCCTCCTTTTAATTCTTCTATTCTTGTCACACTTGAATCTTGACTTTTATCTTCCTTCACAATTTCTAACTTTAAAGAATTTTGATCAATAAATTCTTCATCTTCCTCATCGGATTCATCCCAAACTAAAGAATCGTCGTTCATGAAACTACGAACTGCTTGAGTTACAAAAATTTTTCTACGTTCGTTCGTGTTCGATCGTTTTGGTGAATACGGTTTATAGTTTTCATCTTCAAGAATATTCACAGTATTCTGATTATTATTCTCCCGAATGTAATCAACGCTCTTGTTGTTATTGTTGTTTGCGTTTGAGTTGGTGCTATTGTTTTTAGAACTTTCTAACTCCCCTGATAGTTTCTGAGATAAACTACGTTCTACCTCAAATTCACCTACCGTCATCTCTTTCTCTGTAAAACAATTTTCCGAAGGTAAGGATATAGTATTATAAGAAAACTTGTTAGATCTATCTTCATCTTGCTCCCCTTTATTCTCACTCTCGAAATTTTCTTTAAATAAATTAACCGAATAAATTACTTCGGATTTTTCATCGTTATTGTTCTGCAATAACGAACCGAAAGGTATATCACCGAATAAATCAGCGTTGTCGCGAGCTTCAATGTTCTGATTTTGTTGGAGATTATTTATCGGTTGTTCGGAGGTTTCTTCGTTCAGGATCGAATCGATATTTGGAAGACTATCAAATTCAGGAGTGGAAGAACTCGGTGATTCAATCACGAATCTCACTTTGGTTGCTGTGTGTTCCTCGATGATATTTCCATCAGTTTCAAGAATATCATAACACATGGGTGATCTTGATCGTCTAATGTTCAACCTGTTACTTCTGTCGATGTAATCCTCAAAAATAAAACTGTTCCTTTCATCGATCCCAAATTCCGCGTTGTCTTCTAACGATGTCTTCCATCTTTCTAAACATTTCTCGAAGGGGAAATTTGTCGGTGTTACGCGAAAACAAATCTCGTTTTCATCGGTGATATTATTATCGATGAAAGAATCATTCGTAACTTCGTCTTCAACGTTCAATTCTTTTTCAATGACATTTCTTATCACATTCTCTTCGATTCTTGACTCTTCCAATCTGTTTTCAATTGGTGGATTGTCTGTTATGACATTTTGAAGATCATCGAGGGTGAAAAATAAGGGTGGATATTTATTGAATTCTTGTTTCCTGACTATATCCCCGTATCTGGGTGAAGTAATAGATGGTTTGTAGTTTTTAGGACTTTCATTATTTTTTACATTTCTTTTAGGACTCTCAGCAACCTTGAACTCTCTTAGTGGACTCTCAGCAACCTTGAACTCTTTTAGCGGACTTTCACTAACCTTGAACTCTCTTAGTGAACTTTCACTAACGTTGAACTCTTTTAGTGGACTTTCGCCAACCTTTAATTCACTTGTAGGCCTCTCATCAACCTTGAAACCTCTTTTGGGACTTTCATAAATCTTCAAATCACTTTCAGGCCTCTCATTGACTTTCAATTCACTTTTAGGATCCTCATCAACCTCGAAATCATTTTGAACACTTTCACTAACTTTCAACTCTCGTTTTGGACTCTCATAAACCTTCAACTTCTGTTTGGGCCTTTCATTTTCATTGACCTTTAACTCTCTCTTAGGATCCTCATCAACCTTGTAATTTTTGTCACAACTCATCGTCAACTCTTTCTTAGGCTTCTCATCAACCCTCAACTCTTTCTTTAAACTTGCATCCCCTGTTTTCAAAACATTATTTTCAGAATTAGAAGAATAATCTAACGAAACAATCTCACTTTGTTCGTCCTCGTAAACTTTCGGAGATGGTTCATGAATTATAATCCTCGTTTGAATCTGATTTTTATCAACGAGTTTGGTCTTATTTTTTCTTGGTATTTGAAAAGGTGGAGGTGGTGGAGGTAGACGTTTCCGATCAATTCTCTTCGCACATATCCTAACTTTTACTTCTTCTTGTTTTTCTTCTTCCCTCGGAGGAGTTCCTGCGTTTATTATTTTTTTCTTTCTTCGTCTGGGTGGCACCGGTGGTGGTGGATGGGGTGGCGGTGTTGGGGTTGTCTCACCTACGATCAGAAGAAACATTTTGCTCGTTTTTTTGTTATTCACACATCTTTCTCTCTCTTTTTCTCTAATAATTTGTACTCGAAAGATGTCGTAGATATTTTATCAATAAAAAAATAAAAATCGACCAATACAGATGCTCACATTTGTACATCGCGTCTCACGTGTTTCGTCCTTTTATTATTATTAGTATTATTATTCTAATTATTATTACAGTGTTAAACCGATACGAAAAAGATATGATCACGGCGTTAGACCGAGAAATACTAAAGGTGATTCCTTAGAAATGATAGACTACGTTTTTACCCCACCCTTACTCTGTCCAAGCTCGTTCAATAATAGTCTATCTTGTTTTTTCTTTTTTTTTTTTTTCTACAAAGGCTTACACGTCTATCTTTATTTAGTAATTTAATTTTATAGATTATATCTTTTTTTATCTAATAAATTTCTAGATATTTTTTATAATAAAATTTATTAGAGTGATATTTTTAAATTATAAAAAATACACTTATATAGTACTGTCCTTCTTATATAATTACAATTACTGAAATAATTTCGCGCGCGCGTACATCTTTTAAATGATCAAACATATTTCATTGATATTTAAATTTGATAAAATTAGTATGCTATTTTCTAAGAAATTACAAATACAGTAAATTTTTTTATTACAAAAAACTGAACATCCAGGTGTTCTAATTAAGAAATTATCCAAAGAACTTTCTCAACACTAAGATATATTTAATTTTATTCGATGAGGAAGTAAAACGAGAAAGATGACATTCCTTTAGCCGTGAATTTAATAATTCTCATTGTACGAATAAATGGTAAGAATAAACGAATGGACTCGCTCGGTGACTTAGGATGGGGCTTCGTTAAGAGGATGAAAATAATTCGATTAGAATGATCGTAGATAGCACTAGCTTTCTCTCTCTCTCTTTCTCTCTTGTCGTCTCGGCATTGCACTGTCAAGACGTAATATTCTTAACGAGATTTAAAATTTCGCGATACGTCTTCAAGGTAAAGATTGATAATGAAAACGGAAGTAGCATTTTGTGGACTGTGCAAGTGAAAAAACGAACATTTAAAAAAAAAACTCTTGAGTGGCTTTCAATTATATTTTGTGTACACAATTTAATCAATTTATTAGATATTTTAAACGCAAGATTTTTATCTTAAAAATAAATTAAATAAATAATTGTATTATTAACAAATTTGTAGAGGATGTTAAGGAAAAAATCGAAACTCTGGCAGTATTCGCATATGGCGTTGTATGCGTGAACAATTAATTAATATTAAATTAATATAAAAAAGAATAAGAATATTGATAAAAATACAAAAAGATATTTACCTAATTATATGAACACTTGACGACTGGTTCTACTAACATCAAAATCTTCAATACTAAGAAGCATACTAGCGGATTTGAGAGCGTTGTTATCGACAAGATCGGCCAAGTACAAACTGTTAGCATGGTGGTTACCCATAGCGCTTGAAGCAGCACTACTATATGCACTAGATGTGTTTTGTACCGAAGTAACATCCGTTGTTTTCTGAATCAGCAATTTGTTCGTCATGCTAGACGTCTCAGCTTCGGATGAAGCATCAAATCTAATATCACTAAAATTTGTAACCCATTAATCATTTCTCAATTTAAACTCTTATATTTATCATTTGAATATACAATAATTTATTTATAATACTTACTGTAAATAATTGCTTTCTACGACACCAATGTTACGATTATCAATCTTTTTTATTGAATCGGGTTGAGATAGGACAAGTTCTACTGTCTCGGACGAACTTTGTAACATTTTCAGAGCATCCTCGTATCGAAGATTCAGTAAATTTTGTCCGTTTATCGCTACTATCCGATCACCTACGAGCAATACATTATTCATTGGCTAATGTTATACTTTATAGTGTTAGCTTGTTTTACCTTTGTTCACGTTTCCAGCCATATCAGCAGAACCACCAACTGAAACTGCTTGCACGTAGACCCCACCGTCGTTACCTTCGGTCACCTGCAAACCAATACTTCCACCGTGTCCTCGTTCCAATTTAATCGTGTGCAGAATCCTTTCTTCGGCGAAAGACAATTCTTCTAAACGTGCCATTAATGAAGCTGATATTGATTCTTCCTCTGGTACGTGGAATGTTTCGTCGTCCGTTCTTATATCCGCATCTATGAATAAAACATTTACATATCGTCAATTTATTATTAACAATAATTATTAATAATTATTGCATTTATATATTTATCTTTATTACTCACTGAGTACGTAAGCTTCTGGTAACGGTGATTCGGTGGATCTTGCAGAAAACGATCTTATCGACGATTCCGTGTCAGATTTTAACGACACCGACTCAGCGTCGTCGGTAAGAGTTGGATCTTTTTGGCCAATACTGCTGTAAATTGCTCTAGTGCCCATTTTTACGCCTAACCGACGTGGTAAACTTGGTGTTCGAAAACCTGTACTTTGCCTTGGAGTCCCATAATTCGGCAAACTCGACGTTTTCATCTGCAGAAACGAACGAGATCGTTGATCAAATGTTTCAAAAAATACAAAATAATACAATATTTTATGTAAATTTGTTCTTTACTTTGTGTATTGTCTTTTTTACATCGGAAACTTCCCAGACTTCTTCAGGAACAGGAAAATTTTTCTTTCTCGATAGACCAGCTTTATTGATCGCTGCATAAAGTTCCTCAGGATTATCGGATTTTTCATTTAGATGATCTATATCATTGGTTGACATGATTTTTGGCAAAGCGTAGACACACTCCGTGTCAATTTTAATTCTCGAACATGCATAAATCGTCCCTCTGTCTCTTTCTTTAAGATCCAGTGAAATCGGTTCATTCGGATTAATTAGGTCTCCCTCAGATTCATCTTCGGTGTCGCGTGACTCGCCTTCGGGCTCTAATCTGACATTTACTTGAGCATAAAGGGCGTCCTCTTCTGACGAGTAAAAAGCATGATTCTCGGTAGTTTGAACTATTGCATTGGTGTCTTTCTGAGGATTTTCATTCTCTTTGTTCTGATATTCCTCCAATTGCATTGGATAACTGTTCAACTTGGGATGTATTTTAACTGTATTCGCTATAGTTATTTTTGTCTTTCCATCGGCGTTCTTCACTTTTGAAGGTGACGTTGTCGTTTCCACTGTCATCGGAATTCCAAAATCTAAAAAAAATTGAATCACAAAATCAAAGAGAAAAAATAGTTTTACATCAAAAAAAAAAAAAAAAAAAAAAAGAAATTAAAACAATTAAAATGAATAAATAAATCTTCGACAAATTATTCTTTCCTTTTGCATTTGTTTTTATATTTTTGTTTACCTTTTGCAAGTCCCTGCAACGATGTAAGTTCAGAACGTAGTTTCAAGAAGAATTGATGATGTAAGGAAGTTAGTTTGAACGCGAAATAACTCCTAGAAAATTGTTTAATTAATTAAACGAAAACGATCTTATTTCCTTAAAGGTATGCGTCGCTTTAAAGAGCCCTTACTTTCTGTGATCCATTCGTAACTTGAATTTGCATCGTTTCCCGTTTAATTTCGTGTAGACAACCAGACAATTCTTACTGTAGCTCAACGTCTGAATGTCTCTCCATTGAAATTGAGCGAGTTCCATCCTTTCTCTTGGTTCCCCGCCTCTTTCGAAGAGCTTCAAACCCTACAAAAAAGTTCATGTTTTTTAAACAATTATAAATACAATATTTAATTGGATTTTTTGAATTACGTACTTGAGCATGAATGGCTAACCAGACATTGCTATCAGTCTTCTTGGTTTTCGACGATTTATTCTTGCTATTGTTATGAGCATTACTATTGTTATGATTATTATTATTATTATTATTAATGCAAGTATCTTTTCTTGAAATTCTACAAGTTGTTTGATTCGAACAGATCTGTTGTTCGGGATTTACGTTGAAATGTGTATTTGGTTTAGCGTTACCGCCATCGGCTATGCGCTCGTCGTTGTAACGTATCTTGGGTTGAAGAATTTCATTGGAATTTTCAGGTAGATTTTCTATTCTACCGTAGGAGGTGGTAGTTGTAGGTTTCTCTTGTCCGTAAATATTTTCCGTTCGTGCTCCCTCGCAACTTCGACGTTTCTCTTCGGTGATCTTTTTTTTCTTTTGTTGTGTCATAACTTTTTCGAGTTCTTTACAATCTACGCTGGCTATATAATAATGGGACCCATAATCCTGTAGGGACTGGGAATGAGTTATGAACATCTCCTCGGCCTTGTTCGAATCTAAACCACGACGATCCCTATGTGCTTGTTGTAGTTGAATGCGCAAAGCTTCAGCATTCACGTTAGAGTGATGCTGATCCATATTTAATATCAACGATTCTGGGACGTAATGTTCCAGCAAAAAGTAATCACCGCAGCCGTGTTCCTAATCAAATTACCATTCAAATAGATCACCACTTTCCTAATGACTCTAAACGATAAGGAAATATCGAAAGAAAATCTTTTCTACACTTACGTTTGCATTGTAATTACCAAATTCGACTTGAAGTGCCAATCCGGTTAAATAAATTAATTCAGAGTAGGAACATACCAGTTGTTGCTCGAGTATGCATCGCCTTATTTGCAGATACAGCAAGTGTTTCGATATCCAATTTCTGTAAAAGAGACACGCAATCTCTATGTGTATTCAGTTTTTTAATTTCTTTTTTTTTTTATTTGCACGTAAATTACTAACCTGATACCACGCAACGATGGTAAAAAAAAGCGAAGTCTTAGGTAAAGCATGAAACTGGTTGGAAGGCCTAAGGAACCTTTGCTTTTGCCACTGTTCAACCAACCAGGTGGAGCTACTTTGTTCAATTTCGTTTCTGGTGGTAAAATAGCAAAATCCCCGGCTAACAAAACTGCTAATCCTAGCGTGAAATTTTCTTCCAAATTTTCAGCTTGCACTATGGCCTGTACAAAACAATTCATTTTTGATCTAGTATTTTTATTAAAATTACTTTTCATTCTTGTTTCATTTTCAAATGCGAATTTACTGGTCGGTTTATTTTCGTAGATAAAACGGTACAGTAATTCTAGAGATCGCATAACTAACTCGTGGATTTGTTGTAAAGTGTAACACGATCATGGTAGTGTAGTGGTAATAGTTCTGGCAAGGTGCCAGAACTTCTGCCTAGTTTACGGTATGAAATTTGTGGCTTCTGTGAAGAGGACACAATCTACATCTTATACTACTCGATGATACAAAGTGTGGAATATGATGAGACACGTGTATTACAATC